TAAGTCTAGCGTCCAGATGAGTGGGCGATGCCCAGCCTGGATTTCTGTGGGATGGGACCCCCAGAGTGTGCACATGAGTACTGGTTTACCGTTAGTCCCATAGTCAGACCAGTTTATTCATATATATGTTAATTTCATAGTTTGTTAGTAAATGTGCTGAGTATTCAGTGTCGGTCCCGGTGGAGCACCGTTGATTTTCTTTGTGCTCACGCCTCCCCACTACCCTATTTTTCAGGTGATGGAGTCCCGCGTGGAGCGTGAGCCGGACGTGGTGGTGGTCATCAGTCATAATATTTGTGTTATGTTATGTTTTGTATTGTTTGATTTATTTATGCCTTAGTTATGTTTCATTGATTGCTTGTATGCCCTTGATGTTTGAACTATATTTGCTTCCGCATTCTAGAACTGTATTTCGGAATTTTAGACTAGTATTTCAGGATTTCAGACTAGTATCCAGATTAGTATTTCAGTAGTTCAGAATTTCAAATTAGTATTTCAGAACTTCATATTAGTATTTCAGTAGTTCAGAATTTCGGATTAGTATTTCAGTATTTCAGAATTTCAGACTAGAATTTCAGTATTTCAGACTATGCATGCTTAAATCCTGAGATGTTCATGGCGCCTTATTAGAGTAATGGATTATACTTGGTTTCATGCCTAATAGTCTAAAGATATTAAAGGTTAAAGATATAAGATTAAAGTTAAATAACATCCCGCGTATTAAAGTTAAAGTATTTTTCGAAAAATTAATATGAGTTTTCGAAAATTAAACCAGTATTTTCCATTTATAGCACGAAAAATTTACTCTGATTTTAGTAAGTTTAGGCGGGGTGTTACATAATTTTTCAAGAAAGGTCTTTGTGTTCCTTTGGAAAAATAAGTTTGATGTGTTTGAAACGTTTAAGACTTGAAAAACCTTGATTAAAAACCAAACCGGTAAAAAGATTAAAATTCTTAGGACTGGTAATGGGCTTGAATTTTGCAATAATTTGTTTGATGAATTATGTGCTCAATCTGGTATTTAAAGTCAATAAAACCGTGCCTTACACCCCTCAACAAAACGGTGTTGCCGAGCGAATGAATAGAACTTTACTTGAAAGGGTGAGGTGTATGTTGTCTAGTTCGGGTCTTTCAAAAACAATTTGGACGTTTTAACTTCTGCTTATTTGATAAATAGGTCGCCTTCCGTGTCTTTGAATTGTAAGTGTCCTGAATTTATTTGGTCTGGAAAGGAAATTGATTTTTTAAACTTGCGTGTTTTCGGTTGTGCTGCATTTTGTCATATGAAACGGGATAAACTTGAACCTCGGTCAATGAAATGTGTTTTCTTAGGATATCCTGATGGCATTTCGGATTCATTAAAAACAACATCTCGATTTATCACGACCTTAAAGTCGGGAACGCTTCTAAGCCACAATCTATAAAACTTGGTGAGGTGTATGTTGTCTAGTTTGGGTCTTTTAAAAAAGTTTTGGTGTGATGCCATTTTAACTGCTGCTTATTTGATAAATAGGTTGCCTTCCGTGCCTTTGAATGGTAAGTGTTCTGAGTTTATGTGGTCAGGAAAGGAAATTGAGTTTTCAAACT